GGGGGGGGGGGGGGGGGGGGGGGGGGGGGTTGTCCGCTCGGTCTTGCGAACGGCGTGCGGCCTCACGGTAGCAAAGCTCTTTGGCCTCGTCATCATTTTTCAAATCATTCGGGGTAACTTGCGCGTGTGTGTGTGTGTCTTGCTGTGGGAGAGAAGAGGCAAGGACTCCCCACACGAGACCGTACTTTCAGTGGCACGGTGGGTGGCCACCGTTGCCTGCCGATGCTGCTCCTGCTGTAGGTGTTCTGGCAAGCCGACCCGGCGGTGGAGTCCAGAACGAGCAACAATAAGAACGGCAGCCGGTGAAGGAGCGCTGAAGTCAGGAACGTTCAAGTGGTTCCTTCGGCGTAGTTGAGCTCGGAGTAGCCCGCGAGGGACCTGCCGAATGGTGTGCTTTGATTCGCGACGCGGAGAATAGCCTCGGTCTCTATCGCCCGAACCCGTGCGTCCAGCGTGCGAGCCTGGTCTGCTCGTGCGGTGGTGTGATGGTGCACTGTTGGTCTCGCCCCATAAAATTCTGAAATTTGATCTCGCGAGCAAGTTGAGGTCGTCTGTCGGGCGTGTTGGGAAGAAAAAGAGCTGTTGCGCGTGGACACATGCTCTGCTCTTTATGTGTGTGCATAGTACGATGTATCTGAAGAAGGCGTATGGTGGCAATCTTTTACCGGCACGGCAAGCCCTGTAGCACCGCCGGAAATTCGCAAAATTTCGGAGTTGCGCGGGTGTTTCGTTAAAACTCAAGTTCGCGCCCGAAGCGGATCGACAACCCAACCCAAAACATCGTAACATGCGTATTCCACAGGGTTCGGCCATCACGATGAGCACCGTTTTACGCTCGGTACATCAGTTGGCTTGTGACGACGGAAGGCGTCTGCGTCACAGTTGGACCAGTACGCACATTAGTACTTGTAGAAGGTACTGAGTTGAGACCGGAAGGGGCTTTTAATGTGAAGACAACAATAACATCGCCCAAATATTGGGAAACATAAAATACAACACAGAAAGACTAGTCTACTACCATTCGAGATAAGACAGAATATCTACAAAATATGGTATGTAGGTGACTCAGGACCCACCAAAGCAGCACCAGTATCACCAGCACCAGCACTCCAGCATGTTATCCCAGAGGCCCCAAGGTTCTACACTTCTATAGAGTCTCACCGCAGCACAGAAGGAGGATGGCAGCAACACACCAAGAGTATATTTTTAACGTGACTGGTATGCATACAACAAAGAAGAGCATACATTCTGCACGTACAAGCATCAGACGTTGTTTTTCATAGGTAAATACTTTAGTTTTTTTGGTAAATACATTGCCAAGTTGTGCTGCTATATGATGAGCTCCCACAAAGGAGTCCTACTTGCCACCTACATTCTTCGTCCAAACTGGTGGTCTCCAAGAGGGGTAAACACCTCCACCCTTGCCCCCCTTGGAAAATATACTATTTACTTGTGGCGTAATCCATTTCACGCCAACGTCTCTACATCAAGCGCACCTGTTCCCACCTTGCACTACTGACGTCACACGAATCGCACCCGTGTGTGGTACTGTGGAGGGGTTAAAGCAACAGTCTACTGCTATTGTAATGCAGAAAGGTGAACCTCTCGTCCCGGTGGCTATATAGAGCCGTTGTGAGTTTAGGTATCCAGGGGCGTGCGTGGCGATTTTTTTGTTTTGCACCCAGGTGAAATTCGCATATTTCCGGGTGCGTGCGTGTCAGCCGGTTTTTGTATCGCGGTCGATGGTTGTCATAAAATAAAACAAGACCTCGCGCATCCCTCGGCTGCTGTGTGGTTATTTCTCGAACGGGTAGTCTTTCTGTGGGTTCACAGGTATCTTCTAAAAAAAAGAAGGCCAAGGTTACTCCCCCCGAAGCGAGCGTGCGCGGTGCGTGTGTCAGCCGGCTGCCGTACAGCAGTAGCGCGGTCAATGCAAAAACAAAATCCACCGAAGCGTTATTCGCCCCCCCCCCCACGGCAAACGTTGTTGGCCGAAAGCTGAACTGCAACCCGAGCCAGATAGAGCTATGACCCGTTTGCATTGATGCTTCGACGGCAGTTTTTATGCTTTACACCGCCGACTCAATGCAGTTAGCCGCACTCAGTACTTCACCCGCCCCAGCATTGTTCTCCCCTGTATATATGTAGCGTCGTACTTCGAAGTACAAAGTTTGTCCTATCCCACGTCCATCCGTTACTGTTTGTTTTGGTTTTCCAGGAGTATGATGAGCTCCTACGAGTGCTTGCTTACGTGGTCGAACCTGTCTCTTACGGTGGTCTCCAAGAGGGGGCGCGCACCACCGTTCACCCCTTGATATATGCAGCACGATCCAGTGAACGCCAACCATTCCACAAACAGCGCCTGTACACGTATGCCTAGCACTGCTTAAACTCACGTGAGTCGTTTGGTAGTGTTTTGGGTTAGGGCTCAAAACCGGGATGAAAGCAATAGTGAAGTGCTCGTCTCTGAGCCGTTCGGTTGTGGACGTATCCAGAGAGGGCGGGTGTGGCATATTTTTTCCCCCGCAGGGGGAAAGCTTTGCAGCACACCGTGCAAGAATTCAAATTTTTCGTTGCATGCGTGCATCCGCCCGTCTACGGTTACGGCTTATACTTGAACAAACACACGAAAGGATTTTGATTCATTGTGTTATCCTTGTGTATAAGAAAATAAAAAAGAAAGAAACAGTCGAAAATACACGACGGAACTGCCATGGCACGGAGCACTACTGGTGCACTTCTGTCCAAGCGCAACCCAAAGGCACACAAGCGCAGCGTCGTCTGCTTTGCTCTGTAAGATGAAAACGCGCAATTCTGTCCTGGTGAGTCGATTCTGTTCTTCGAGGAAACACACGCAAGCGTTGGCCTCCATACTTGTTCCGGTGCACATACAGTACGACGGTGGAATGGAAATTACGCAAAATTATCAAATTATGATTGGTATGTCCCCGTGGAGTATAACCATGCACACAATCCACCCATTCAGCACATCTGGTGGTTGGGGACGGCGAGGTTGCGCTTGGTCTGTTGCGGCACCTCTGGCGAAGCGTAGCGATGTATCCGCATTGACTTCTCTAACTCGATGCGTAGGTGTAGGCGTGTACAGGAGTGTTGGTGCTCAGGCCAGCGTTTGCGTTGGGCTGAGGCCACTTGTTACGCTGTCTCTTTTTGGGCTGTCCCTTTTCTCAAAAAGGGACCAATGACCAAAAAGGGACAGGATGGGGTGATCTTTTTTCGCTGGCCCTTTTCGGGAGGTTCAAAAACGAAAAAAAAGACCACGTAACAAGTGGTTTTTCGTCAGTTGTCCCTTTTTGAGAAAAGGGACAGCCCAAAAAGAGACAGCGTAACAAGTGGCCTGATACTGCTGTACGCAATCACGAAGTATAAATGTTTACTCATTGAAGGAGGATGGATGTTCAAAGACCACTGTTTCATCCATCCGCTCCCGTCTCAGGAGCGTCGAACATTGATACACGGATGCTAATGACGCAAACAAGAAATGCAACCATTTGACGCGCTCGCCCGAAGATAAAAGGTGGTCAGCCCCGCTCATGTGTGAGGACCTGTGCGCGAAGACCGTCCAATCATCCAACAGTGACGTAGGCCCCCATCCAAGCACAATCTAGCACCCTACCCTTGGCAGCACTACCAACGTCCGACACGCATTGCAGACCAACTTTGTTTCCCATCCAGCCTCAACCTATCTGGCACCTATGCCGGCTCTATCAACCCAACCCCCACCCAACGCCAACCTTGTGTGTGGGATTGGGGTTAGGGTTAAGAATCGCGTTAGGAGTCAGACCGGTTTCTGCAGGGATGCCCCAGCCATGGCCTGTGAAATACGTCACCGATGAAACTGCACATGCACCCACGGGATTGTTGCCACCCCTAATGCATCCGGCCAAGACTAACGAGACGTGAAGCCACCCCTGGCGTAGAGTAGGACTTAGGTTCGAGACTGCACACATCTTCTTCCCTGCTGTCTATTTCCCTGCATCCGGGGGGCGGGCGGG